TTCAACTAGATTTACTTGGTAATTATTCAAAAAATTGAAAGAATTCACCAACAGCCATTTTTTCCATAAAAGCTCACAAAGACATAGTCTAATTTCACCTTTTAAAAGTTATATAAACTTTTGGAAAAATTTCTTTGACTATAAATTTGAACAATGGGTGCTAAAGCTTTCATTTAAAAATTATCACACACATCGTAACTATTTCCTACGATTTTTTTGACTCCTGGCTTTAACTTTTGAGTGTGACCTACAATTTTCAAAATATTATTAAATTTTGAACAGTTACAGAAGAGTTTTATATTTTAGATCATTTTCACTTTAGAAAATTTTAACCTTTGTCATATTTTTTAATATTAAGGGATTGAGCGTTTATATTTTACGTATATTGCATGTAAAAAGACCTCTTTTAAATATAAACACTTTCAAATTCTTGACCTCCAAGATGACCTACATTTATAAAACTCTTAACCTTAGCCTTGAACTGTCATTGGAGGTATCAACTTTACACAAATACAAGTTGTTTATCAATCAATTGTTTAAAAATCAATTGAAAATGTCTTTGAAGACTTAAAAGAAATTAAAATTATTATTTACATATAAACACTATTGTGAAATTAGTGATCGTCCAAATTCAAAATGGCCGCCGCTATTGCGCAACTTGCTCGGTACAAAACGTAGAATAAAAAATGAAAAAAAAAAACTTTTTTACCTCAATATGTTATATTTTGATCGTAATATTCTTTGTACTCTTCGGGGGAGTTATTTGTTAAGGCTCTGGATATAGTTAATCGGGATAGTTGTCAACACCCGTATAATAGCCGTCTCCAATTCATTTTTAGAGATGACAATTCTGTCGCCAATTTTCAGTTCTCCTTTGATTCTGAGCTATATGTTCTCTACAATGTTTTAAGCGGGACTCTGTGCTGGACAGAACATTGAATGAATGTAATTTTGTATCTTGAATTCATGCACTAAACGCAGGCTCTATGTATGGGCGCATTGTCGTCTTGGAAGATGTAATTATTCTGAGGAAAATGACGCACAATTACCGACCACAAGTGTTCATCAATGATTTCAATAGATTTTAGGCATTTATATTGCCATCTACGACAGTACGTGTGCCTACATCATTAAAGGTTTTATATCCGCATACCATCAAATTGAACTTAGGCGTTGACGTTTGCGATAAACAACAGGGTAGCCAGTCTTCGCCGACCTTTTTCAGATAAATACTCGAATATCAGATCCAATGTCTACTTTACATTCAGAACTGAATATTACTCTCTGCTAGTACTTGTCGACAGTTTTAAAGCTGTACCAAGAAAGCGGAGCTTGCGATTTACTTCACGAATTCTCATTCATTTTCAAACAACTCTCCTAAAATACCCCTATACTTATATTAAGTTATCTGCACAGTTCGTTTTGAAAAGTAGATATTCTATAATAATGCAGTGACATCGAATAAACTTCGTTTCTGTTTTCTTTAACTGGCCTTAAAATTTGCCGTGCATCTCTGTTATCCAGATTTGACTTTTTTCCCCTTTTCTTGGTAGATTTTTTATATCAACTCGCTTCCGAAATGATCAATCACAGACGTAATTATTGTACGGGGTATTTCTAATCTTCAAGCAATTTGTCGTTGTCTCAGTCCCGTCCGATATTAAAAAATAACTTTTTCTTTAACACCATTACTCAACTCTTTCAAAGCAGGAGCCATATTGTTTACATTGACAATTACGCAGCAGACGAAGAATTATGACGTGTGAAGTGATAGTCACAAAAACATTCTTAAATACGTCATTTTCACCAACAACAGTATCTTTGCTTACCATTGTTTAAAAAGTTTGACTCAGAGATCTATAAAATAAAAAATTGGTGTGGCATTCCTCCTTAAGTATAAGTCACATTATCCAACGATGGGGTATACGATGAGAAACCGATGCGTTTTTTGATGAAAATGGCATTGTCGCTGGCCGGGCACCACTAGTGATCGGACGGTGACTGATTCTTTTTTTGCGAATCGGTGGGGTCATCGGTAGGAAATAATTCGTAGTTAATATTCAGCGATGTCTCCAACGATGCCTCACATCGCTCCTCATCGGCAAACCATCATTAACACATCTTTCAAGGATCGGCCGATGTATGGCCGAGCATCGTCCAATATACGTTGAACCTGAGGTCCTCGGGGAGTTTATTGGTGTTCAGCAGATAACGACCGGTCATCAGTCGATGTTCGACCAAACATTGGCCCGTAATCGACCGATGTACGAACGATGTTCACCAATGTATGAGCGATGTAATATACATCGGCCGATTATCCTGGAACATCGTTTTATGATTAGCAATGCATCGCTGGGCCTTTGTAATCTGTGCATTGGTTGCCCATCGTATGCACATCGCTGGATAATGTGACTTATACTTTTAGGACTACTAGACCGATGTGGACCGATGTTGGGGCATCGTTAACACCACGGATTACTACCGATTACCACCGGTCTACGGCTACCGGCCGGGAAATGTGACCTAGGCATAAAATGTCCAAATGGTTAAAAATGATGATGTTCACTCGTAACGCACTTTGAAAAAAAAAATTCAAAGTGCGTTGAGTGTGTCTCAAATTTAACGCACTTTGAAAAAATTTTTCAAAGTGCGTTGATTTTGTCCCAATTTTAGGGCACTTTGAAAAAAATTTCAAAGTGCGTAATTTTTTCAAAGTGCGTTGCCACACGGGGCTATATAGATTACGTCTATAGTGAAAATCTTCTGCACTGCTCTTGGGTATTAAACCATGATCCATGTACATAGTTTTTAATAGGAAGGATGCCTCTTCCAAAAAAAAAAAAAAAATGAATTTCTGGGTCTCTGGGTTGGGGTTTCTAGTGTAAGGATGGGGCTCTCTTGATTATATATAGTTACAAAATACATTAACTCTTTTAAAATCTTCTCTGCTCCTGGGAATTAATTAAACTAACCAAGTACATAGTTACGTTGAATAAGGCTGCCTTTTCCAAAACTGTGAATTTTATTGCCCTTAGGTCAGGGGTTCTGGTGTTATGGTGGGGCTCTATGACTATATAGTGAAAATAAATGAATTCTTTAAAAATATTCTCCTCTTCTCCTGGGTATTAAATCAGTGAACTATGTAAATAGTTATGATGAGGAAGGCTGCTTCTTCCGAAATTGTTGATTTCAGGGCCCCTGGGTCATGGGTTTTGGTGTTAGGGCAGGGTACAAATGATTATATAGTGAAAATGCATGAAATGTTTGAAATTCTTTTCCTTTGCCCCTGGGTATTTGCCAAAGATCTAATGGAAATATTAATGATAATGAAATGTTCGTTTTCCAAAATGGTTAATTACCAGGGCCCCTGGGGCAGGAGTACTTGGGGGGAGGACTTCATAGTCTGTAAATAAATTAATGCTTTAAAATCTCCTCTTCGGTGATATTAAACCATTTATCATGAAATAAGATTCGTTATAAAATTTCCAAAATTTTGAAATGTGTGGCCCCAGGGTCAGTGGTTCCTATGGGGTGGGGTGCACAGCTGTTATAAAGTGAAAATGCATTTTCTGCTTGTTACTCTTATATACACCTCTGGGTATTAAGTTACCAAAGTAAGCAACCTAAGTGTATAGTTATGATAAGCAATGGTGCCTAGCTCTTTCAAAATGGTGAATTCCATGGCCTTTGGTTTTTAAATAAGAATCAATTCAATTGTTGGAAAGTTGTTACATGATACTCAGGTGACCTATAAGGCCCGTGGGCCTGTTGTTCATAGTATGCAGACAAGATACTGTTTTTTTTAAATGGACTGCAATACGTGGACCATATGCATGTGTTTCTAATCAAAATTAAATTAAAGAAAATTTCTAGGTTCGGTGAATATTCATGTAGGTTCGTTCACACTGTCTACAATGACTGATAGTACTAGTAGTCATAGCAAAATTGTTAAATTTTATGACCGATTGGCCAATAGTTTTGTCATTAAAAAATTATTAGGCTATAATGATACCATAAGGAATTGACATAAGCAACAGAGCTCACCCCCTCCCCCACATAGAGGCCTGTATCAAGTAGCCCTTTTCCTTTTTTTTTGGGGGGGGGGACTACAACCCCTTAGGATCTCCATAATGGTGCAAAGTGATGCCATACAACGGGCTAAATTGTTGACAGTGAAAAGAAAATTGTCTTTTTAGAAATAAATTGAATATAAAAACAATTTATTTTGCCAGCAGTCGCCCGTATTAAAAGAAATATTTGCACCATTACGGAGATGCTGTGGAAATGTAGCCCTCTCCAGAAAATATCAGATTTAAAAAATTGGAAAGGTCTACATTATTGCAGCTAGTATCAAGATGTATTTGGATTGCTGTGTATCAAATTACTAGCATTTTGCAAGCCGTGAAGCACAAAACTAATACCGGTGAAGTGAAGTCTTGTTCTATCTTCTAAAACCTAGAATTAGTCGTTAAGTTTTTTTTTAAATTCAAGTTGCTAAGTTATCTATATATATACTGCGAGTTCTTCCTACTTTTCTTTCCTGCTTGTGCCATGGAACCAATTTTTAGTTTGTATTTTAAGTATATGTAAAAGAGAGACATTTTGATCCGCCTATGAATATATAAATACAATATGAAGATTTAAAAATAAAATTTGCCAATGAATGGCATATTCTAATTCATAAGGGCGAATTATTCTACGGGCAAATTGTCTAAGGGGCGAACTAGCATTCTCGAGCATGCGTAGACTGACGTATGCCCATGGCATCCAGTTTAGCGAAATAAAGTTAACAAAAACACTAAAAATACGCATTACACGAGCATTTGGACTATCACTAATGGCATAATACTGTAACAAAAATAATTCAACTACCAAACATAATAACAATGTGAACAACTGAAGTTGTATCAGGCAATATCCTGAAAATTTTCAGATAATTGAAGCAACAACAATATACACCATTAAATATTCCGAATAAGGTTGAAGGACTAATCGATTTAATGTTTGAATAAATATTTATAATATAAAAAGGTTCTACTTGCGAAGATGCTCATCGCCTTCTGGATCTTGGAGCTAAACCACATAACTGCTTAATGAGTATGATGGGGATAGCCTCAAATGATGATGTGTGGCTGAAGTTAGGAAAACGATTATTGGAATCTGGTGCTGATCCAAATGAGACATCGACTAAAGGAATATCTCTTATTTCAACTGCCATCAAAAGAAATTTGGTTGACTTATTAGAACTTCTCGTTAGATATGGTGCCAACGTTAATTTGATGGACGCTCGTCGTCAGACTCCCTTGGCTTATGCTCGTGAAATGCGTAAGAATTTAATTAATACAAGGAACTTTCAAAAAGTACAATATTTACAACTTTTTATGCCCCCGTAAACGAAGTTTCGAAGTAAAAGACACCATGAGCCTTAATGTGCGTTAATGAAAAAATTGTTCTTAAAAAATAATAAAAAAAGGACTTCAGAGGGTGGGGGTTCAATTGCTGGAAATACTAAGCGTAAAGATTTAAAAGATATTTTTACAAGACCTCCCACTATTTTTAGACTGAAATTCCTCTCTAATCCTGACCTATTTCATAATCTTTTTCATATTTTGGGGGTTATAATAGCATGTTTTGATATATTAAAAATTACAATTCATAGTTTAAGCACTTCAGCTACATGTATACATTGTTTTGTTATAATGCAATATTCGTCTCTAAATGAAGAGAAAAGATCTCGTAAATACGAAACAATTATCTCCTTTTTACGGGATAATTATCTCGTGGTTACATGATATATTTCTCGAAAGTACGATTTTGTATGGCTTTTTAGCTCACCTGAGCCAAAGGCTCAAGTGAGCTTTTCTGATCAAAATTTGTCCGTTGTCTGTCGTCGTCGTTGTTGTAAACTTTTCACATTTTCATCTTCTTCTCATGAACCACTGGGTCAATTTCAACCAAACTTGCTACAAAGAATCCTTGGGTAAAGGGGTTTCAAGTTTGGAAAGATGAAACTCCTGTTGAATCAACCTCAGGTGGGGTACATTAATGTTTGTTCAAATCATGACCCCTGGGGGTAGGGTGAGGCCAAAATGGCCGATCAAAGTTTGACAGAGGAATATATAGGAAAAATCTTTCAAAATCTTCTCAAGAACCACTGGGCCAGAAAAGATGAAACTCATGTGGAATCATCCTCAGGTTGGGTAGATTCAAGTTTGTTCAAATCATGATCCCCGGGGTAGGGTGGGGCCAAAATGGCCGATCAAACTTTGACACAGGAATATATTGGGAAACCTTTTGAAATCTTCTTTTCAAGTACTTTAAAGCCATGCTCAGTGATATTTATAGGGAATCATCCTCAGGTAGTGTAGATTCTAGTTTGTTCAAATCATGACCCCCTGGGGGTTGGGGGTTCAAATTCAGCCCTCCCCCCTCAGTAAACTTTCAGTTCTGATCTGATATGTGCTTTTTCCTAGACAATTGCTCAGATGGGCGATGTGGCCCCTGGGCCTCTTGTTTTTAACATAATATTAATGGGATCTTGTAACATATTGGAAAAAAATTAAAATACATGTAATAGATTAAAACATAAAAGCATATTTTTCCCCCTCATTTTTTACTACTAATTAAAGGATTTTTCAATTTGAAGGTTTGAAAAATAATTTCATTTAATATAGATTTGAACGGTGTTTATTTGCAGGTATTTTCGACAGAGAATTCAAAATTGTTAGGACACTCCTAAAATATCCAGTGAAATGGAACAAAAGAAACTTTATCGATCATCTTTGGATTGTATCGGTGAATGCTATTAGATACTCTAAGAATACACCGTGTGGCTACAAGAATCAAAAGCTCACATTTAACTTGAATAGTGTTTTCACTTTTTCATCGCCGGGGCAGATCTGAAGAATAAACAGTCTGGGTAATGAAATATGAATTTTTTCTTTAGGAACATCCCGTTTAGAACGCTAAAGAAAATCACTAAAATCAAGATATCAAAGATTTTTCAATAATAATAACTCTAGTGGCCAATGAGGTCACCTGAGATTAAAGCTGAACATGAGTTAAACGAGGGCACTTTTGATTGGCATTCGGCAGGAATCTGGGAGAACTTGAAAAGTGACAATTTTATCGAAAAAAATCTAACATTTTTTTTATTCATCGGGTTCCTGTTTAAAGGGAAGGAAAATACATTCCAAAAAGATGAGTTTAGATTTGCTAAATAATAACTTGAAAATTGGCTAGATCAGAAATTTGGCACAAAATGGTTCTCAGTTAAAAACGTTTTACTAAAAAATATAATTCTATATCTCGGTCTCCTCTCCATGATTTTGAAAGGTTATTTGTTTGCATTTAAATTCTGAGAAAAGAACATGCATTTGCAATGGACAGAAGATCAAGTGACCATAAAAAAATCAACTTTTCCCCAAAACTTCCAACTGCATAAATGGGGTGCTTCTTTTGTCCTTTTAAAATCCACCGCATAGGAAGCGGGTATACCTCAGTAAGATGGGCTACCTGTTCAGTGTAATAGTTTTTTTTGGTTCGAGCCTCGCATTGGGCGTGATTATTTTTTCTTTGTTTCATTTTATTTACTGATTTATTAAAATTTTGAATAATTAAAATTTTGGTAATGCAGTTGCATCGAGAGGGAAATCAATTCCAATCTTCTATTCTACTTAAACTTTGATGTTCATGTACATGTACACTTATCATATATGCCTTTTATCGTATAGGTGTCTATTTTTTGTGAAGCAATACTATATATTTTTGTACCCCCTAAACAGTCAAAAATGTTACAATCTAACAAGGTATTTCAAACTAAATGAAATAGCTCTTTTAAAATCTGACCAGCTCTGGTCAGCCAACCAAATTATGGACATTTAAATCATAATTTTTTCGTACAAATGATCCCTGCAGATCATAGGCAAAACTCGCCTATCTTCTTTTTAAATAAGAGTAAAATTAAATTTCTAAAGACCGTTGATGTCTAGCTGCTATATTGATCCTGCTTCAATATATTTTTGCTGCATGGACCAGACTTGAAAGGACCTCTGCTTCATAATCATTGTGTTCCACTATGGCGCGACAAGAATGACCTTTCTTTGCTTCTGCCAAAAAACAAAATTATTTAATATGTTCAATTTCAGTCATCAATGTAAAAAGTTAAAAAAACACAAATATACGTTCATTGAAGCAAAATGAAAAGGTAAACCAATCGGGTGTAACAAATGAGTGCAGATATAAGTGATAGGAAAATTTGAATGGCGTATGCCTAATTCTGAGTCGAGTTCAGCTTTGAGACTTTTTTTCAACACAAGTTTCTATTTTTTAAATTTTCATGGGGTTCGAATTCTTAATCCTTTGATTTTCATAATTGTTGTTACCTTAAATTTTCTCACAATTCTTTGTTTTGGTTAGAAATGTGTAATTTAGTTATACATGTTATTTTTGTTTATTTCAGAGCTCGTTTGAAATTATTGGCAGGTTTTGGATTAATTGAGTCCATGAAATATTTTATGCGCTGTGGCTGGAACATCGACACAGACAGAGAATGGTTTCAAAGTTTAGAAAACGTCAATCAGTTAGCTCATGGTTTTGGTATCGATGATACCGACTATAAACCCCAGATTACGCCTGAAAAATTCAAATCTTTTAAAGCTGTATTTAACGAAATTTTGAGAGAACCAAAATCTCTACTAAACCTTTGCAGACATAAAATTCGTAAGGAGCTTTCATTTCGTGGTCATAGTATTCTGCCATTAGTTGATGATCTACCACTTCCAACAAAATTAAAATCTTTCATGAAATTTGAAGATCTTGAAGGTCCGGACGAAGAGGAAGTGATCGTAAACCTGAAAGGGTACTGTGTATTTTAAGCTTAATATTTTGTTTTCTATAGAAATATTTACTTAACCTGTTTTATACAACTATCAATTTCGGAATAAGATTTTACTTCGATTTAAGATTATTGGTATTTTATGGATACTTGTATCTAATCTAATATACTGCAGTGTAAATAAATTTCTTCTAAAAATGTTTAAGGACCCCCTATACTCTAATGAATGTTGTTTTCAGAAAATTACTGTAGATTTCTAAATATACGCGAGGAATTAATTATCGCGTAATTTCACGAGAAGCACCACACGCGAAATAAAAGTACTCGCCTTTATTTTTATGGTGCTGGAAATTTACTGAATATGTAAAATCTCTTGACCAACTGTCCATTTGCGAATTATTGTTCTCGCGATTTGAGTTGAAGAGCCCATTCGCGATAAAAAAAACTCAACTAAAATAAGGAATTTACGGTTTATATCGTAATGCAAATTATTTGAAATTATATAATTCGTCGTAATGTGAAGAGTGTGCCTTTTTATCCAGGAAAAATATTCAAAACAATAAAGTAATCATAAAGAAAAATCGCGTTAACTCACTCAAGCGGACAAAATATTACTCTCCATAGTCTAATATAATGCTTAGAACCCTTGGATTAATTTTATTTTATGACACACTGTACAGATTACAATTAATTCTATTCAATGTCAAATCGTGGGTCTGTCTAACTACACAAAATTACTCTGAAATCAAGGTGAAGTGTTCAGAGGGTCCTAAGAAAATAATAATCTTACGTTATTTCTTTAAAAAAAATATATGAAAATTTACTACAAAAGGAGGAGAAATGAATCATGGTATCCATTTTCTTTTTCAGCTCGATGTCTGATGATGATGGGGAGGAGGATCCTTAACACAGATTTAGCAGACAATGAAACATGCAACAAGTCCTAGGCTAAACAACATTCATCGTTTAGTTAGACAAACTAAAATATTTATACAAATCCGTTTGTAAACAATTCTAACAAACTATTTCAATGCTATTTTCACTTGCTGTGTCTCCATTTTGATTTTCTTTTCCATATGAGTGAAAAAATCGCACGGGGTATAAAATAAAAAAAAATATCAATCAATATTCTTTACTGGTAGAAGTTTAATCATTCTTTAAAATTTCTTATACCGAGTTATACAGTGTTACTTTTCTTGACCAGTGTAACGTAGAATTGTGAGGCCTGTTGAAAATTTAACAGACGTGTTGAATTAAGATCCTATGCCGATGAGATTTAAGCCGGGTCTTGGAATTTTTATCATGAAATCGGTTATAAATTCAACAGCATAAAATATCAAAAAGATGCTCGAGTTTTTGATTGACAATATTTATATGTTGATTTTGAAGACCAGGTCTTCCAACAATCAATTGGAATTTCCTTGGGTATCAAAAGACCTAATTTAGTATTCATTTGAAGCAGAATTTGTGCAAAGTCTTTTGCGTGAAAGGAAGAAAACAATTGCTGTGGCCTTCAACTCATCATTTAAATATATCGACGAGGTATTGTTGATTTATAATGTACAATTTTCTTTAAAATGTTATCATTTGTATATTTAAGATGCACTAAACTTTAAAGGCTTTAAAAGGACAGTCAATAATATTTAAAAATATTTTTTTAACAAGAATACATTCTTAGTTTTATAGTTTGAATATAATTTTAAACTAATTAATTATGTCTCTAAAGATAAGAAGGCGTTTGGAGGGAAGATGAAATGTGAAATTTGAAATGGGATTTTATACTTTGTGACTATATATGGCTTTCTGGACATGTACATTTTTACTTCCCCCATTATCTTAACCCAAAAACGGAATCCCATTCAGGAAAGATTTAATACCAATGTTTAGGCCATGTTCAAAAAAAGAAAGAACATTTAGACAGCTCGAGAGCAGTTTTTTTTTCTAAAACTGTCACAACGTTTTCTCTGTTATAATAAATATGTACAGTTCTTAAAATGCGTTTTAATTACTAGACGTGTTTAGTCTGTAATCTAATAAATGCACTTACAAAAAAGTACAATTTTGTTTTTTATCTTTGTTTGGTCCTCTGCAGAAAACGGTATTTCTTACTTTACAATTCTGAACAAATAATTGTTTTTGTATTTATTTGTTCGAAACAAAGAAAAGTTTCAAGCTTCTTAGTCAAATATATCCTGAATTTGAAGATAAAGTTGCTCTTCTTTAAAGTTATCACATTTTGATGACATTCTTAATTTTGCCATACATTGACATTTTACTCCTAAAAAGATCTAAAAAAGAACTAACTGCAGATGACTGAGACACGATGCACGCTACGTTTATTTACTTTTTTTCATAATTCCTAAATTGTGTAATATAGATTTAAATATTCCCCATGCTTTTTGAAACAATGGTTGAAATTAGCTTTTATTCATAGTCAGTTATTCATTGTCATGGACTAACTCGTGGTATAACGAGATCCACCGATCCATTTCCTTCCCAAAATAATCAATTTCATACATTAAATAAATGCATATAGCAAGCCAACTGTCCACTTCTTCACTCTGAAATCAAATATCCATGAACTGATATTTTATATTCCTCAGATTTTCTCCAATAATTATTTCCTTGAAACACGAACATTTCATCAGATGAAAATGATGATTTCATTGTATGCCTTAGTTCAGTGACTTTGTTTTTTTTAGTTAGTCTCGTTAATCTTCATTTCTTTCTCTACCGCCTCCAGAGCCCCTAGACATTTGACCGTCACATTCAATGTCCCTATAACCTCCTTCTCGTTTTTAACATCATGGACTGCAATGAGAATAAAGTATTTATGGATCATTTCCCTCTAGTACGAAGAAATAAAAATGCATAAAATCTTTGATGATTCATTCTTAATTGAATTTTTTTATCTGTAATAAAATTGTTTAAAACTGTATACATGTGCATTATTAATGCAGAGAGGTTTATCTCATTTTAAGTACTTTTTATTTGAAATCTTATTTTGTGAACCCCAATTGTCAAATTAAAATATTAATAACTAGAACAGTTATTCAGAATTACCAACTTCGTTTTGTTCATGTACTAACCATTAAGTAATTGAATTAGTATTAAATAAATACACAGGTCTGTATTGCAACTCCATCCCCTTCCCGTGAAAGACTTCAACCAATTGTAACAAGAATTTCATAAATGAATCATAAAGGATGTGTAATACAGGTAAGGGTGCATCGCCAGGTATGAATTTACTGTACACTGGGAATTTTTCGCCCCCGTTTTATTTTTGCCCCTTTTCGCTCTACCGTTACCTGTGCGAATTTAAAACGCGGAAATCTCAAAAGTTAAAAATAAATCTAATGCATTTCCTTCAACTTATTCAGAGAACCTGAAATATAAAAGCAGAGTCATTGCATGTAAACGTTTGTTCGTAAATGGGTCATTTTCAAAAAATGTCCAAATTCCTGTTATACAAGCTTTTTTGAAAATATTGCAATAAAATAAAAAAGAAATTTTACCCGATGAATTTAACAACAATCTATAAGTGTAGGAAAAAATTAATTGCGATTTATTTTAAAAATTGACTTGAAAACTGAAAAAAGTCCTTCAACCTGAGTTAAATTCAAGAGGATTGCTTGTGATTTCGCCTGATGTTTGACTTCAGCTCTGATTATTGATGTAGTAAATATAATTAAGCAGTGTAAAATGACCTTTATTGTGTTGTACATGTTTAATACTGTCTAAATGCATGCTAAAATGTGATTGAAAAAGAGTAAGAATATGATTTTTTTAATGGTAAGTGTGTGTTATTTTTGCCGTGTCCTTGAAGTAACCAGGACATAAAAGTTATCTGTAACAGTTATCTTTCCTAAAGAAACTCTTCACTATCAGCCTCCTTCTTTTGATCTTGTTCCCGCCAAAATATCATGAGACACTAAACACAGATCTTTTATACCATAGGCGCAATATGTGGTTGAAGGCAAGTTTGATTGCAATAGTAATTTATTTTTGAGTCCTAGGAGTTACTTAGATATTGTGAGGATAAATTAATTTACCATTTCTTTGATGCATTGAGCAAGTTTATAACAAAATACCTATCATCTAGGAGCTATGCTTTATGTTCATATGTCAGCTATTGTTTTTATACTTCCAGTTATTTATATAATAATTCCCTGGTGTTACTGTCCATTTTGTTACTGCAAGAAAAGTTACTCTAAGGACGTATCTAATTACTCCATGGACAATTTACATAAAAAATAATTAAAAAGAATGCAAGTTGGAGTCATATGTTTTATTTTCCTCCCTTATTTAAAACTAACCAGTAACTAATTTTTTTTTAAATGCCAAATTATTTACTAAATGTTTTTACCATTTGAAAATCATATGATTTTGCAGTCTTGGTTATGCAAAGGACAGAATTGGGTAACTCCGCGGACCAATTGAAAAAAAAAACCCTTTAAATTGCCAATTTTAATACAACATTTGTGTAAAATTTATTACAATATAAAATAACAGAATTATTTTTATCAAATTGGCATTTATTTTTCATATTATGTTTCCATGAGCTATAAATTAATTAAATAAATAATTTGAGCAACACAAAGGACAATGTTTGGTAACACATTGGATGTAAAAACGATTAAATATTTATGTTATTAATATACTCTTGCATGTTCTTTTGTTTCTGTAGGAAAATATACAACTTTTATTCTTTTTTTGAATAAATTGAAATATCAAAATTCATTATGTAATGCAATCATATCCCCTTTTATGCTCTTTAATAGTATCTTATGGTAACACCATAGACAAATTCAGTTACTCAAGGGACACAGCAAGGATTAAAGATGGAAAAATGAAACAAGCGTTTTGCATATGGACTGGTAATTGTGTTCATTGTATTGCAGAAAACAAATGTGGTGGGATATTGCAATTCAAGTAACAATAAAATAATGAAGTGCTAAAAATAAATGATGGTTAAAAATGGTAACACAAAGGAAGTTTTAGGTAACACTTTGGAATGCGAAATAAGGCAGAATATGATTTGTTTTCTTCAGTCTGAGGATTCTAGTTATGTTCTCTTGATGAAGATGATGTAAACAAGACACATTAAAAAGTTGCAATGAAGCCAATAGAATCCAAGACGTAAAAGATAAATTTATATCATTGAATTGAAAATAATTTTAAAGTTATATCAGATACGGAACATTTCTTTGCAAATGCATTTAAAGTCCTTTAATCATGTAAACCCTTAGATGAAAAAGTCACAAATTGTTCATAACTGTTCTAAAAGGATTTCAAAAGATGTTTTTAAGGAGACAATGTACCAGTCATTACCCTAGAATACAGTTTTGCACTTAGTTGAGGATGTTCTTCAGATTTGTCCAACTGAAATCCCTCATGACTGTGTTCCACATCCTGTAAAAGTTGGTGCTGAAAGAAGTTGTTAACCTTGGATGTACATAAGCTTTAAATTTGAAAATAAAGAAAGTGGTGGTGAAGATTATATAGTGGAGGCAGCATTGGACAACAACAAGGCCAGATATGGTGGCAGGCCACTACATTTCAAGCCACTTTGTTGGACTGTTACCCTGAAGAACTCACAATGAAAGTTTGGCAAACGATCAGTGGATACAAGAGCAAAAAGGCCGGAAAAATATCAATGAAAAAGAGTACAGATTAAAAAAAGTCAAGAGTTCCTGATAGGAAATCCGACTAAAGAAACTGAAAAGACTGACACCCTGGAAGAGAATTTGAGTTCAATAATGAACATCAGACTACAGATGAAGAGAAACCAGATCCCTTGGAAGAGAGATCGGATAAAGATACCGAAAAAATGAACTTAAATGTATGCACAGGGTAAGACGGAACCTAAAACCATGTTATTTTTTAACAGGCCAAAAACTCTCAAAGATAAAAGCTGGTATAGCATTGCTAATGTTTTAATAATATTGTCACCATCATATCTTGTGAATGTGTATTACGTAGAGAGCTCATTGTGGAAAGAGGCTAGCTGTAGATAAATGAAATGAAAATGTAAAATCCATAAAAAGATTAATGCATTCTATATGTTTGAAATCTGGTCATTTACAAATACAT